TTTTTCTGAAAAGATTTTAGCTTACTATACATCTCCTGCCTCACTGAAGGAACTACCTTAAGGATAAAATCCCAGCTCTACTGAGTTAGCTGCTTAATGAGGACGGAATTTTTCCCTTTATGTATAAAATGGTCTACAAACATAACTGAACATAGTAGGTCTACTTCTATTACCAATTTTCTATGGATATAGAGATTTACCTCCTTCCAATTAATCAGCTAACAAGAACTAGCATGAACGCTGAAGGTCAGGTACACTTCGGTTCACAGCAGAGGAGCAACTAAGACATGTTAATTCATTTCATGTCTTAAAAGCAGTCAAAAAAGGTATGCTAGAAAAGACACTCTTTAGCTTTTGTGAGTTGCTTAACTCAGATTACCATCCTCATAATGCTAATCTTTAGAGTATAGTATTGTTTTATTGTTAAATTTAATACCACCAATTTCTCAGAAGCAAAGCTCTTTCTGCATTTATAGAAAAATGAGATTATTGGGTTACTTTCCATACACTAAGTGTTGCTCCTGGCTAGTCTTATTAATGACATTGCAATTATGCAGACTTTCAAAATGAAAGAGCAGAGAAAAAAGGTTTATTTTTAAAAATGCAATCTAACTAAAAAGATCACATTCACAGACCTGGCTGTATGTAGCAGTCACAACTGTATAACAAACCACACATACTAAGAGCACAAGGACAACCATATCAGCTCAGATCCAAATTTAATTTACCCCAACATCCCGTTGGCAAGAATCACCAGTAGCAGATGATTACAGAAAGTTAGAAGAAATAGGAACTATCTGCATTTGCCCAAAATTCTTGACGCCTACTAATGGATTAGGTTTCTATCTGCAGCAATACACCCTAGTGTCTGTTTACCATTACGTAATTTCTCGTACAGTGACTGAGTACCAGGAACACATGCAAAATAGAGATAGACCAATGATGTCATATAGTGTAATATAATGTGATATCTTGACTTAATAGAGATATAGAAGGAAATGAAACAAAGAGGGAAAAACACAACTTTTTTCCTCTATTTTATGGATTTATTCTTTTATTCTTTGTTATATCCTTCAGGAATTTCCTGTTCTGGTACTATGGTAATGGGTTAATATAAAAATTCATTTATATATTTAAATAAAAGTTATAAAACTATAATTGGAAGAGACAGTGATTTCTATTACTCACATGTCTAACCTCAAAGTTTGTGCGTGTTTGTGAGTGTTTACATATCAAGCTGAGAATTGAAAAACATAGAAAAGTAGTTCAGAAGTTTTCACAGTGAGATTATGTTGTTTATAAGTGTTAAAGTTTCCATTAACTAGTTCATCAAAGCACTTGTGCTTTGAGAATTATGCAGCATATAATAGGTGTGCAGGAAAAAGCTGGTCACCTTATAAATCTTGTATGTTCAGAAACACTTTGTAAAACAGTTAAAGTACTGAAATCTTTGTCTGTATTAAATTGAACACTACTCAAGAATCATTCTTCCTAGTCTGTGAGAGATTGGATGCTAAATTTAAGCATAAGATACAACTGCAATACTGACACTGATAAACTAATAAACTTTCAGTGTATCACTTCTCAACCTTAATACTCTCCATACTGTCTGTACATAAAGGAAGAAATTTTAAATTCATATATGTACATGACATTTTGCAATTAACAAGTGAGTTCCATACAAAAGACTATATACAGAAAGATCATAAATCAAATTCTCAGCTAAAATCAGCTAGTACAGTTCTAACTACACAGCAAAGTCTTATTTTTCCCAGTTTCCTAGAAATTGTTTCCATTTTCTATATAATTTATTTAATTTAAGGAAAAAAATGCAATTAATTGCAGCAATACTACATTTCTGAAATGAACAGAAGAATTACTGGTGCACAGCCTCCAGAAGAAGCAAAGGGAGCTTACAATATGCTGTCTTGTTGCTTAAGGAACTTCTGTCATATGCCTTAAAATAGAGAGAGGAACTCAGTGATGATTCACTTACACATCAAACACTAAAGTGCAAGTGAGACGCTGCCTCAGAGACCTAAATCACATAAATGTGTTACTGGAAAGGGAAAATTCATGCGTTGTTTCTCTTTCGGGGTTACATTAAGAAATGTGACAACAAATGAGACATGATCTAGAATGGGGAACAGAAAAACAAGCACATGCAGTTTATGATGGGCCATTTAATTCTGAGATAGACATGGTCTGAGCAAAGAATCAAGAATACACAAGTTCTATTTCCACTGAACGCTCCAGGGTCTTTTTTTTCTCTTTACATTGCTAATATTACAACATTTTTAATGCAACGTAGTTATTGGAGAGTTTGTGTGGTGTTCCCTTACTAAACTTTATGGAGAGATGCACAGAGGGAGTATCGTTTGAAAAGTGCCTTTCAAAGATCTAAAACATTCTTTGGATTTCATACCACCTCTGAGTCAGGGTGTCAAACGTATGTGAGACTTACCCTTAATTCTGGGGGTAAATAATTGCTTAAAATTGTGAAAAGCACATAATACTATGGCAAATAGTACTGAATATGCATAAGAATTTATTAATCTCGAATTATCTGTCTTTAATTGAAATGTGTTGCTTTTTACGCATACTGTGATTTTAACAAATAAGATGAAAAAGATCTGAATACAACAAATCTATCACATGCAGAGCCCTTGTCAATTATAAGTAGAATATTACTTTCATAGATAACATTTTATTTTGCCATTCAGAATTGCTGTAAAGGAGGCTTATAAAATATTTTTACATCCCCAGTTTCTATCCTATATCAAATTATACATGGATAGTGTAAAGTTTCCACATGAAAGACACTCATGTCTTAACTGAAAATAAAGCAGAAAAACAAATACCCAAAACCAAAATAAAATAATTCCTACAAGTTAGTATGAAAGTCACCATCTACTTCAGGAAAAAACAAACTAAAAAATAATGTAAAAATTTGAATCATAATAATATCGCCTTAGACAAAAGCTTCTGGCATTTCCTTTTTAAAAGCAGTAGTATTTCTTACTACTGAAACATCAGCCAACATCAGCTTACTCAAGGAATTCTCAATTCCTATTAGCATGACTCGTTTTAAAAAGTCACTTTGAATCTTTCATTTTTAAATTCTGTGTAAATAGAAAACTCAAACAGAGATTATTTTTTTTTTAAAAAAACCCTCTCCTAAGTTAACGGCAAGCACAGGCAAAAGAACAAATGGATATAAGCTGTCGCTGAAAAAATGCAGATTGCAAATTACTACAGAGTCTCTAGCCATTAAAATAAATCAAACTCTGGAACAGCCTTCGGCGGAAACACTGGGGGCAAAGAAATAACAACTCCAATTTAGTATTGGCAAAGTTTATGAAAAGAGAATTATCTGATGCAATTCCCAGGCTAGCAGAGCACTGGACTTGATGACCCAGAGATCCCTTCCACTGTTATGTTCTTTCTTTGGCTAGATGCAGATGTTCATCTGTTTTTCAGCCTCCCTGTGGTTTTTCTAAAGTGAAACTTAAATGAAAGTTAATATAATTTTTGTAAGTTTCAGTTAGAAATTATGGTTTGTAAGAATTGCTGCTAGGCCTGCAGCAGAGCGAATCTTGTCAAAGAATTCTAAAAGCTTAAAGTTGGCTTAGCACTGCAGAGAAGTAGGGAAGTATAAGTGTTCAGAGATGAATGCCCAGCAGGGCACACACCATGGGAAGAGGTAACTGATCCACTGGTAGGGAAAATAGGAAGAAAAAAGTAAACAATACAGTCTAGGACTGATATATCAGTAATATGAAGGAAGAAAACAACACAGTACAGTAAAGAAAGCAAAGGACATCAGGACATAAAAACGTATAGGGAAGGAGAAATTACATACATATTTCATGCCTTTCTAAAAAAAACTCATTAATGAAAAATTATTGTCATGTGTGGTGGCTGTGAAGAGTCAACACCAGCTTGAAAGAGAAAAAAAAAAAAATGTCTTGCTCAAGAGGGAGGTCGTATTTCAGGTGACAACGCAACACAAGCCTCTCTCCCTCACATTTCTCCCCCTGCTTAGCTATTGGAATTTGCCTAGAGTTGGCTGGCTTCGAAAGCCCACATTTTGTCACTCCCCCACAAGTGACAGTAGACATGCTACTACACAAAGTTCTGTGGGTGACTCAATATGGAAGAAAACAGCTCAAACTCAGAAGAATAACTCTAGACCACTGCATAAAACAACAATAATAATATTTAAGCTTGAAAACAATGTAGTGTTCCTTAATAACTTACACCATCCTCTTGCCTTTGCTCAGTTGTTTGTTTTTTTATGAACATAAGAATATTTTTTATGTTGCAGGTAACTCAAATGTATCATAGTGAGTACAGAAAGCTATTGTAGATATGTATACATCAGTGAGATGAAAATAATTTATAGAAAACAACTCTACATGTTTTCTGGTTTTGTATAAATAAGTCCTCAGAGCAGCTTTTAATGATTTTCAAATACATGTATCTTTACAGCTCCGATCAGTCATAAAAGCATACAAAGGTCAAGCAAATACTTTATCTTATTTAAGACACTGTGGTCTGTTTTCTATCACTCGCAAGTTCTAAGGTTTACACTCTTTCAAGGAGATGATACTGCTACATAAGTCTTCAAAATAAAGGCTTTACACAAATTCTGTGAACCTTGACGGCTATGTATGTAATTCTTCCAAGTGAACCCCCGAGCCTGATAAATTCTAAGATACGCTGATTCTATGAAAACAGAAAAATTACTTATACCAACACTTAAAAATTATCACCGTACAATTAAGTGTCTGTGTGCAGATATCATCACATGCAGATGATTTTTAAAGTCTAGCCCTTTCTTCACATGAATAAATACATAATGTTTCTGGTTTTTTAAGAATGATATCTGCAGATTTTCAATAAACACAGAAGTATTAAAGAATATTAGTTTAACTAGACCTTCTCAATTGACTGGAGAACAAACCACCATTTTACAGCCCTTACTGTGTGCTTTGCAGGTATTCTAGAAATCCGAACAGTGGCAGTTGGAATAGTGGCAATCAAAGGAGTGGAAAGTGAATACTTTCTGGCAATGAACAAGTCGGGAAGACTCTATGGAAAGGTATGGAGGTAACTTCTCTTGTGTGTACAATCATCATGTACCATCTTATAGGCACTTATTTTTAGATGGAGCATTTGTATAGTTTGTATAAAATAGATTCCTAAAAAATTTTAATGTAATCTGTACATATCCCATACATCCTATACTAGAGTTTTATGTCCATTTAATAAATTCAGTGATTAGAGCTTACAGACTTTCTGAAAATGTGGAAGACTAAGGGGAAATAGAAAAAGCTAAAATATTCAACACTCAGATTTCAGAAGTCAAATTTATTCATTAAAAATATTAATAATGTGTGGGGTTTATAATGCACACTCTTCTCTGATCTCTCCTACTCTAAGTATTAACAAAACCAGTTCTACTTATTTTACTCTATTTTACTATTTACTCTCAACAGAAAGTATGCAATGAGGACTGCAACTTCATAGAACTGATCGAAGAAAACCATTATAATACATATGCTTCTGCAAAATGGACGCACAAAGGAAAGGAGATGTTTGTTACATTAAATCACAAAGGGGTCCCCATGAAAGGTAAAAAAACAAAGAAAGAACACAGAGCATCCCACTTTCTTCCTCTGGCAATATCCTAATCACGAATGATCTATAAAGAACTAGTTCCAGCAGGAAGATTATTTTTAAGAAGACTATTTGACACGGTATCAAGAGAGGCTGGAATACTACTGAGAAACTGAACAAGCTGGACTTGCGCATTTATGTTTATTTTTAAGAGACTACATGAAAAAGATTTGAAAATATACACAAAACCAGATTTACTAACTAAAAGTTGTAAAAAATTCTAAAGAGTTGTACAATCATTATCTTAGTCATTATAACTGGGTAGTTTCTTAAATTAATTTACCCTGAAGAATAAGTCATGACTTGATTATCTGATAATATTTTATTTAAAAAACCTATCTGCTTCTTAAATATGGCTGCTATAATAATAATAAGCAGATGATAATGTTGTGTAAAATATGTCAGACTTTAAGGCTGCTGGAATGAGTTGTCAGATTATCAAGTCAATAGTAAATGTGGAGGCTGAGCAGTATTTTAAATACTTCCCCCAAGAAACTGATATCCTATACATAAACTATATGGTCAGAAAAAAATATATAATCTTGTAAATGTTTATTGTTGTATTCAGATAAAAGAGTTAGTTTGAAAAAATTAAGTTTACTCTACTACAAAATGTTCCTATCTATTAATGAAACAAATACCTAATGCTGCTCTAAAAGATGTTTCAAATAGTGTATGTAAAATAAGAATAGGAATAAATAATGTACTTCATCTCACTTTTCACAAATTAACATTTTATATAACGATGAAGCAAAAATTCAGACATACTAAGGTTTTTTATGTAACATATCCTATCTTTTGTATAATTCCTGTTAGGGCATACAGCTTTCAATATTGTTTTTCCATCCTTATACATGCTTTTTTCTGTTGTTACAGCATTAAACTTTATTTTAAGTTGTATTTGAACTTTATTGTTCTAAGTTATTTAAATGTTATTTATAAAAAAAAATACTTATTAAGCTGCATCTGTTTCATATGCTTTTAATTCTAAAGGAATAACAAAATGGTCTGGCTGAGATGCATGAATTTTTTTCTGTGACCAGACACAAAGACTAGTACACAACCCTCTTGCCAACATACATTGGATGACAGACAAAAATGACAGCCTGCAGCAAATCGCACAATGGACATCTCAAAAGAAACAATGCAAAAATGTATGAAATCTTTGCCACATACTCTTGCTAATTGAATTGAGTAGCACGCTCAGAGTTACACCAGGTAAAAGAAGGTTACAGTTCCAGCAGGTACTGGAAATAGTCCTCAGATGATAGGACCTACACTCAGATACAGAAATATACAAGAACCTACATGACTAGTTTGAAACTTCAGCCAAAAGCAGTGTGACCTGATGAAGAAAAGGCATCTTATTTTTCTAGCTATTAAAGAGTTCAACTAAGCCCTACATGACTAATGCATTATATCATTTCATTCTGTTCAGTTTGCCTATGAGTTTTCTCAGTATTGTGATAATTGCTCTTAGATAAAGATCACAAAAAATTAGCTAAAACAGCTGCTAGATGACTGGGATGGAGTCAAGCTAATTACTACAGGTCTTAAATCCTCGACTTTTCATTACAAGTGTCTAGACTCATCCTTTTTTTCCTACATGAGACTTTCTTTATAAAAGCACTCACAGAAAATGGCAACAATTATCTTTAACAAATATTTATTTTTTTAAAAAATGCTTGTTTAACATATACTATAATTTGGAAATCATTTATGGTTTTTGACTTGCATGCAGAAACATTTGTCAATAGAGCTATATCAGTAAATCTTCACTGTGCTTTTGCTAATTTATCTATTACTTGTTCACTGAACACAAAAGACTGTACTACGAAAAACTTTTTTTGCTGATAACTGCACTAATTTCTGTGAATATATAAACACTAAAACGAAGTTCACACTCATTATCAATATTAACATTCTAGCAAAAGTTTCTAGATCTAAACTGGGTTAGTTGAAGCTTACAAATAAATAAATAAAAAGAACAAAATCTCATTGTTTGTGCTTAAAAGCTCTACTGAAGTTTGAACTAAAATGTGAAGATCCATATGAATATATGAACATATATGCCAAAGAAGCTTAAATTTAAATCCAGCTCTTCTAAAGGTCTTTTGATTATGTAATTCAAGAATACAGGAATACAGTCAAACTATTCTTGAACCCTACAGGCTATATGCTTTATTTAATGGATCACCATGTTGCCATCATTACCAAGTAAGCCAAGGCTGCTTTATGTTTTACAGCTGTCATATCTGAAAAGCATCCTATGAGTGAATGGTTCACAACAAGACACCTGGCTGCAAATGATACAACCCCTCAGTAGCACAGTCATACGGGCTTACATGTTGCAATACTTTCCGTATGTTGGCTTAGCAGAGAAGGGGCTGTATTTGAGAAAAATCAGTATTTTACCTTTTTTTCATGTGTTGTGTTTAATTTCTTCTGCCATTTTAATAGTAAAACAGACTTGAAGATTAGAACATATCCTGGGTTGTCCTACTCCAGTACACAATGGAAAAGGTGAACAGAAAAGCAAGACCACATCAACCCAGCTGAGTGATTTTCAATGTAACTTTAACTTTGAAAATCTCTTCGGAAATAAAATATATTTCTTTTCAGCTGTCTCCAAAAAAAAGTTTAGTGCTAAAACCAGAGAATAATGATCAGAAAATTTATAGTTTTGATCTACAGTATCAAACTATTAAAGGATAAAAAAAAAATCTATTAGATTTTAAGAGGTATTCTTCAAATAGATGTCAGAAATCCTCACAAAAGTCTTTTATATCAATTACATCTCAAACCAATCTTAACATCAATCATGTGATGTACCATGTGGGTGGAAAACAGGTTTATATGACAAGAAACAGATAAACCTGTCCGGATATGGCTCATTACTAACCTTTATAATACTAAAGGTTCAAGCAAATCCAAAGAAAGTGGGCTATAAAAGCCACTCTCAATTGTCATTTCTTTGGGTTTTCTTCAGATGCATTGGCTTTCATCTTTCAGCTTTTTTCGTTTACCACAGATACTACAAAGTATAAATAGACTGTGGCTTAGAACTGAAACATAAGCTCCTGTGGTTTAAATACCCATTCTATTTTGACACCTCCAATAAGCATTACGCATTTCCCAGAAACTGCGCCATTATGCTGGCCCTTCAGATTTAATTAACAAGGTTCTACTTACTTATCTTTTGTATTGGTGCTGATAAATACTCTGTGACACAGAGATGAGATAATCTCATCTGGGGAATCTTGTAGAAGACTGCAGAATCTCCATTCTCAGAGGATTTCAAGACCTGACTGGAAAAAGCCCTAAGCAAATTAGTCTAAAATCAGCGTGGGCCCTATTTTGAGCGGGAGATTGGACAAGAGCCCTGAAGCACCCTTCCAAGTCAAACAAATCTATGAACCCAGATGAAAGTTATTTTCCTTAAAACAGCCATTTAGAGTGCAGTTCAACCTCTTTGCACAACCACACAGAACACATTTTCCATTTTAGGGGGATAATTACACATTTGTCTCATAGTTTATCTATAATAACTTGTATGCCACTAAAGGTATGCAAAATAGTGTAAGTACACTCCGTAACACAATAAAAAATAACAATTGGACAATTTCCATGACCTTTAACAGACATGATACAGTACAATATGGTCTTACTTTTAGTTCTGTTGCAAGGACATTAATACACTACTGCGCATAGCATCTGTAATAATCAGATTACTAAATGATTAATCAATTGAGTAATTATTCCAATACGGTTGTCTGTTTTAAATTACTTTTTTAAAGAAAAGATGTATATTCTTTTTGAATGAGCTAAAGCAAAATGTAAGTTGACATTAAATCAATAAATTAATAAGAGAACAGTAATTCACTGCACTCAACGACCAGTATCTGAGTAGTCTAAACACTTCATAAGCCTCTGCAAACTTACTCCTCAATACTAACTTTTTACAAAACATAATAGTTTCATAACATTTGACATGTAGAAAATTAAAGTGACAAGTTAGATGACTTTCCCCAAATTAGGGAAACAGTAATCATCAGAGTTGAGATCCACACTTAGAACTAATATTACACATTTGTTTAAGTAACATTTAATATTAAAAAAAAAAAAAAAAATAAATTCAACTGTTTACGTCACTGGCTGAATTTTAAAAGGTAACAGTTTGAATCACATGGTGACTTAGGGCAGAAGGTGTATTTATTAGCAGGAAAAAAAATAATATAACTTCTCTGTGCTGTTAGTAGAATAATTTTTAAGATTAGGACTATCCTTAAAGCAGAAACTCAGATGGGAAAATATTCAAGAAGTTGCATGAGGTTTTCAACATGACATTTATATTCCTTTTAATGAATATTCATTTTCATTTATATTAACACAGCAAAATTTCTAAAAAAGCTTTTGCCCACCATACATACATTTGAATTAATATTCTTACATAAAATACAACTGCAGAATTTAATTATAAAAATTTGAAAAAAATGAATAAAATCATATAGTATTAAAACTACCAAGTGTTAAAACTTGAGCTCTGTAAATAGCTTCACAATACCTCGCTGAGGAAAGCTAGCTTGCAAATTTCAAGCATTCCAGACACTGAAATTTTGTAACTGCTTACATTCCAGACCTAAAAAGGGAGATTTTCTTCAATTCTGTTTGGAAGGCAGATCCTAGTTTACCAGAATGGGTTGTTTCATTAAGAAAATTCTTTTATTTAGAGACCTGGCACTTGAAAAGATTGAGTCTTAACACAGAGTGGAAAAAAGAGAACTCAGTTCGGAGGAAATTACTTCCTCATGAGAATAAACTATTCTCCTTCGGTGCTAACGAGAAAAGCAGAGGAATGCAAATGAAGATGCATAAACTTGTCACATAAAGGTTACAGTGTTTTCAGACTGAAGTCCAATATCAAGTAAGAATTCTTACTTCTAAGATCATTCCTAAAATAGTGTTTTATCAAAGATGGCTAAAGATCTGAACCCTGAGCATTCTTCAATGAAGTACAGATCTTAAAGGATACCAGATACCTAAAAGGTGGATATTGGTACCTAGTGAGAACTTGAAGGTGTCAGGTTAAGTAAGTTGGCTGCCAAAGTTCAAAAGAATTCAATAAAAGTTACCTTTGCAAGGTAAACACTGAAAACAGCTCATTCTACAGACCAGTCTTCATTGGTTTGCACCTCTGTTTTCTGACCATGTGCCAACAATGGACTGACATATCTATGGTGTGATTGTAACTGAAGAACTCATGGAAGTCGTTATCTAATGTCTTATTTATATAGTTCTGGTTTTATACAGCAGTAAAGGTAGTACTTCTAGCCTATATGATTCTTCCTGAAGGGAAGAACCCCAACCAAAGATGTTTCATTGTCCCACCTTTACTTAAAAGAATCTTTGTCTCATTTTATTCACTGAATTACAGAATGGTAGAGGTTGGAAGGGAGGCCATCAGGCCCAATCTCCCTGCTCAAGCAGGGCCACCTTGAGCCAGTTGCCCAAAACCACGCCCAGATGTTTTTTTAATATCTCCAAGGAGAAAGACTCTACCTCTCTGTGCAACCTGTGTCAGTGTGGTCACCCTCACAGTAAAAAAGTGTTTCCTGATGTTTAGGTGCAACTTCCTGTCTTTCAGTTGATGCCCATTGCATCACTGGGCATCACTAAAAAGAGCCTCAGTCCTCTTTGCACTCTCCCTTCAGGTATTTATATACATTGATAAGATTCCCCCTCAGCCCTCTCTTCTCCAGGCTAAAGAGTCCCAACTCTCTCAGCCTTTCCTCACAGGAGAGATCTTTGTGCCTTTCATTGCACTCTCTCCAGTATGACCACGTCTCTCTTGTACTAAGGACAGAGAGTAAGAATCACCTCCCCATCCTTTCAATTAGTTCAGTAATATCTTTATTACCACTAGAAGTGTTCTTATAATAATAATAATGTGTGGTACAATTTTAGTCAGAATTCAGGACAGACTCCCTTTATGATTACAACTGGCTGTCTAAGCATAAACACAATTTACTATTACCTTGGACAGCACCGGTTTTGATGGACAAGAATCAAGTTATGGGCTAATGACTGCTGAATTTTCATGGTTCCTCTACTGGCTCTGCTACAGATTTCTTATATAACCTTACCAAGCCACTTTCAATATCCTATTCGATAAGTAAGAAAAAGAAGTTCCAATCTGGTACATGCTGCTAAACATCAAACATAAGACCACACTAGCTTTAAATTACCAGACCAATCACAAGAGGGCACAAGTCAGCAGAGATGTAGCTGTTACTACCCACACTCATAGCGACTTCTCTTTGTACACAGGACACCACACTGGCAGAGTTAGATTGTTATCTCTGTTCAAGCCAGCTAACGAGGTTATCTTGTTTATGTCTATATGAGTTGCTGTGATATTATTGCACAACACAGCAACACTGGATGAGACCTTTACAGGAATGAGAACATTTGGAAGCCATGGACATTCAGTTCTTCTGTAAGACATGACACATCAATACAACAGCTAACTTGCATATACACCGTATTCTACTATTTCCAGAGAAAACTAGGCACTTCTCAGCGATCACAAAAACTTCTCAGTGATCATAAAAGAAAACAAGTGATTATTGAACAAAACTGTGAGCATCCTGCAAGCCTAAAGCAATACGAAAGCCTAAAGGCAA